ATTGATAATTCGGTGAACTCTTGACGGTCGCATTACAAAATCGCAGTAAAAGACAAGCCAGTATTAAGAGAAAGTTATGATGGGTGTAATGTTTCTAAAAAGCAGTTCACGTTTTATGTACAAATATGTATATATTAGCCTGTAATTTCCCTTGTTGTCGTCTAGAAATGTTTAGTATGAAAAGGCTTCTCTGAGGTCTTCCAGTTCGGGAATTAATGGATTCATGTAAAACCTGCGTACAAGAGGCACTCTTCTGGTCTACGGTTGATTATTTCTCGCTTTACTTATGGCTTAACTGACTTCTTCGAGAGGTTGTGAGTTTTGCTTGATACTTGGCCGTAACTTCTATTTTTCTGCTGAAACTTTTCCATATTCTGTTAGTTGTCGTAAGAGCCTTCTGTGTGAGCCCTGCAGCTTCCAGGAAACAAGCCAAGGCAGTAGATGGGGCCGAGAAATAATGGTGTTTTATATAGTAGTATTCGTAACGTAGTAAAGTCACTGGACTCTTTGAGTGAAAGTAAAATTCAAAGCATGGTTATCAGTGGGCTGTGATATGAAAGGAGATAATCAGTCAATACATACTTTCAACGAAAATCAGACTGAGCCAACAGCTACCTTCGATAAATGAAGTTGGTTTCCGTTTTATGATTTTTCAACAACCCTTCGCCACTTAACGATTTTCCTTATTCATTCGAAATATCCTTTTATATAAACATTCTGGTTATCGTTTAATGCAATTTCCAAATTCAAGAGGTGAAGGCTTATTGAATACATCTGATTCTATTTTTCTGTCTGCTTATATGCAAAGTATGTAACTTAAAATGTGCTTGGGTTGTCAACAGAACTTTATGGGTGTGAATCTATCTTGTGGTTGTTTTCACTGTATACAGCTGATGTACTGTTGTGAGAAATGGAGTAACAGTAGCGAATATTTATCTGTTTTAGAAAGAGTGATCTGGTTGAAAGAATCGAATGCTTGATCCTTTTTTTGGGTTATATTTTCCAGTTTGAATTAATGAGAGAAGAGTTTCGTATGTTATGTGGAATTCTCAAAGAGGAATAGGTCTGAATGAAGTGAATCTACTTACCAATTTTTATTGATAATTGATATAGGGGAAAAAAAGAAACGTCACATTTGATATCATAATCAGTATTTTATTTAACCTAAAAGAGAATGCTAATCAGTTTTGTGTTAATGAGAACGACTCTTTTAATTTAATGCGTTTTATGTTTGGCTTTGAGGATTACTAGTACCTTATGCATGATTCCTCCCTGGAAAGGGTCTAGTCCTGTTTAAATGTGAAAGGCGAGTGTCGTGGAAAATATCGAGAGTAGTGTGGCATTGTGTGACTGTCTCCTGTTGTTTTTTAAATCATATATGTGAGCAATTTCATACCGCTGTTGTGTACGTTGGTGTCTACAATATTTTATGAAAGGGTTCATAACAGATTTTTTTTTTTTTTTTTTTTTTTTTTAGCTTGTGCCTTATCTGTTAATCGCAACAAATGTATTATACACGTTTATCTAGTTTGTGTTGTGATGTGTTCGTGAAAAGGATGTGTTCGTGAAGCGGTTTACTTCTCAGAGAATATATCGCAGATCAGAGAATATATCGCAGAAATGGGAGTTATATATGTATTCATATATGTATGTGTATATATGTATTCAGAATTCTGATTGGAGTCGGCTGAATTCGCTCTCCAAAATCATAAGACGAGATGGGAATATTTCCAAACGACCCCTAACCTATTTTAACCTACCCTGATCCCAATAACCAATCCTAAAAACCCGATATCGTCTGTCTGATGATGGAAGTCTAATTTCATTCGACTGGATTCGAAAGCTAGTCAGATTCTCGTTACAGAACATAAACACAAACAAATAGACAGGCATACTAGGAAAACTTACACCATGTCCTCATAAAAAATAACACAGCTAAACATACAGAATTACTAGGAAATCTTGCACCATATTCTCATGAAAAATAACGAATTCGTACACGCATGCATAAAGTTTAAGCGTTAACATAGCAATAGGAGCGTGGAAAATAACCGATTTGCACATCCAGAGCCCTTCCGATTGCTGTGTAACGAGACATATAACAGGCGGTAAGAGTCCCATTACCTCATTTCATTCTCTATTTACTCCGTTGACGTGGCTTGTTTGTCACTTCATTCTTAAAAACATTTTTAATTCACACGCACTCACACACACACACGCGCGCGCTCATACACACACACATTCCATATGTGTCCTTGCAAATCGTATAGTATGACAGACCAATACATTAAATACATATGAATGGATAAAGCACACGAAGATATGGAATATGGTTGGTTATATGGTTTGGATAGAATGAAAAAGAATGTCTACCGCACAGGTTAAGTGACTAAAGTTGTAATGAAAACCTTTTGTTCACTGGGCAGTATGTGTTTGTGTTCGTGTATGCGTGCATATATATATATATATTATATATATATATATATATATATATATATATATATATATATAATGTATATATATTATATATATATATATATATATATATATATATATATATATATATATATATAAATGCATGCATGTATATATGGATGTGTAAATATAAGTATGAATGTATGTGTGTATGTATATGGATTTACATATATATATATATATATATATATATATATATATATATATATATATATGATGTATGTATACATATACATACTGTATATTCATTTTTGTAGAAAGAAATTGCGGGACAGGGTTGATAATTCAACGACTTTTCAAGGATTAGTACAATTAAATATCTTGTGTTCGCAGTATGACGACCAGTTTACAACAGTGTTGTCGTTCAATCCACGGACAGTTCAGTATCATTTTCGTCGGTGAATCTCGTGTTGTGTGATTGATTTCTCTGTAATACTTGGGTTGTACTGCTTACTATGCCCACTGTTTGCTTGCTACTTCTCTTTCTATAAGGTTCAGATGTAGGTCAGATCATTTTCAAGTTCTTGACGACCCTACGCCGAGCCTACAGACGAGTAGATCCTTCTGATAAATGTATATACTAGGTAGAGCAATTGGATAGTAACGGGGATAAGCAAGTGACCTGATAGACATTTAATGCAGTATTCCATGAGGAAGGTGAGTGTGGGTTTTGGAGGGACGAGATAGTTTGGCGAGGGAAGTAGGCCGTTGCCCGGAATAATGGTTGTCAGATTGGGCATTTTGCGGAAGTGAAGAAAAAATAAATAAAAATAGAGGAGGAGGATTAGAATTTTCTTCCTTTTTATTTTTTCAGGATTGTGTATGTAAGGAGAGTTGAGTTGTTGCGATGTTTAATCTCGAAACAGGTGGGCAGATTTGTGTGAATGTACATATACCTTATAGAGTGCCTGGTGTAATATAATGATTTTGTATAAACTGATTCCATGTGTTGAATGTTGAATGCGACTGGGAATGCCTGTAATTTGTACATTACTGTATATTAATGTAAATAGACCACTTTTTTAACTCGAGTGAAAACCTGAATGACCGACATTGAATTGATAATGTGTGCAAGTGTTCCAATGAAATCCATTTAGTTCTGTGTTTTTCATGTTTCGTTTAATGACTGATTTTCTGTGAAAAGTTGCTTAGGTGTAAGCCAATGGCACAAGATTTATTGAAGAGTTGATGTTATGATAAGTAGCAGAAAAAAATAACTATATTAAAAGAAGCTTATTATTACGTGTTCAATGGGTTTCTTCATTATTATCAACATGGTATTGCTTTGCCATTCAAAGATGAAGTTTACTGATTGTTTCCATCCGTTGAATCGTAGCAGGGACCATTCTACGGCGATTCTTGAATTGAGGGAGCAATATTCCGTGTCGAGGCAGGCAAGCGACGGCCCTTTGGCTCCGTGGCCGAGGAGAGAGACGGCTTCCGAGACCTCGAGGCCGAAAGAAAGGGGCCCAGGAACAGCTGCGGGGCTGCATCCTCCGCTGTAGAGCATTTTGTTTTTGCATGAGACTCCGAAGATCCATGCTTCTGCAGAAGGCACTGGCAAAGGCGCTGCAGGAAGTGCTTTCATCAACTCTTTTATTAGGGATATCATCTACGGAAGATAGAATGAGCAGCTGACTGATGAACTTGCATCTTCTCAAGAATCACTCTTCAGGCAAATTACAAGTACAACGTTTCATCCTACTTTTTCTCTGCCTGGTATATTGATATTTAAGTCAACTACGTTTGTCAGTCACTTGTCCGTTCTCATAGTTTTATAATCCTTTTAAAACTTCCACATGCAAACATAGGTGACAAAAGATAGCTCAAACTGTAAAAGATAATCTACAATTTTGTGTAAATGAAGTGCGAATCTCATTTTCTTTTTGTATTGGGAATGTATTTAGGTGAACCGAATGTTTAGTCACTAATTATTTTTTCATGAATCTCCTTACATATCTTTAAATTTATCATTACTCTATGTAATAAATTTGAATCTATATTCCATGTTTCTTCTTTTTTAGTGAAATGTTCAATTTTGCTCTCTCTCATTCACTTAAGCTAGTATCTTGCTGTCTGCATCTCCTATCGAACAAGATAATCACGTCTCAGTACTTAAGTGGATTCTCTGTATGATGCTCATTCCCTTATCATAGACTAAAGGAACACTTCCCAATCAAGAGTAGAGTAACTTTCACAATATAAAAGGTAGTTGATCAGCAGTTACTATCACTCCCTTCCCTATTACTATTTTGACATTACGCAGCATCAAGTACTTCGCATAACCATACCTCTCTCAATCATAATAGGAAACACGTTCCTTACATCTTCAGTTCATACGCCAGGTACCATACACCGCATTAACTTTTCTTCGACTAATGCTATTACACTTACTAGTTTTCTATTGGTTAAAGGGATTTTCATCTATGGGGTAACTGTACACTAGGGACATTTGTAAAACGACAAAAACTTTTGTCAGTGATTCTCATTCCATTGCTCAAATTATATTTGTGCAGTACTGTATAGAAAAAGAAAATCCTGAACATACGCAGGTATGTTTATTTTTTATGAATCCTGTTACCTAATTCGTAAGAACTACGTGCAGTATGAGTGTAGGATATTTTTTGTTATGTTACCTTGTGCAATAGACACATTGTGCACTTGTCAGATGTTTACATGAGGTCTTATTAAAATAAGTAGCTTTCCTTTGGGAGTTTCACTGTCCTTAATTGTCTGATCTCAAGCCTAATCACAGAAGGAAGCCGAAGCGCTGTGCCAATGAATAATAATAATAATAATAAAAAAAAAAAAGAAAAAAAAAATATGTATATACATATCTTAGTTTTTCTCTCCTTAAATTGCAAAATCAAATGATTAGAAAATTATTTAACATACCTGAATGACTGCAAATTCACTCTATGAGTTTTATACCATTATGATTTTAAAATTATGACATATTGAACTGAATTTTATCTCACCTACAATACCCATATATCATTCTCACATATTAATAAATCGGAATCTTTCCATAAAGTATTGTTGTCCTGTAGCTACTGACACCATTACACTATTCTGAAAAGATGACAATCACTGAACGGAGCCATGGAGATTTTTGTATATTAATCGGGGGCCACTGAATAAAAAAGTAGGGAACCACTGCTTTAGATTGCCTGATGCGATGGGTAGAAGTGGTAGAGATTGAAGTGTCTGGATTTTGAATGGCAAAAAAATGACTGGGAGGGAGGGGGCAGCAGTGGGAACGTAAGGAGTTGGAGGAAGATGTACTGGGGGAGATGTAGAAACATCTTAGGAGAAAGAGGGAGGTGGAGCGAAGGACAATACTGGAGTAGGGAGCAAGAGAAAAGCCTCGTCGACGTGCTTCTTGCCTGGCTTTATGCGTGTGAAAGTGAGGCCAGGTTTGAATCTAAAACTGCTACCTCGCATTTGTGCGACTTTGCAGGGCAGTTCGGACGATCATGGCCAAGATGGGCAGCAAGTTGTGGAGACGGAGCTTAGCAAGATGGAAAAAATGCCATTTCTTACACTGAGATGGAAGGACTCTCCACTAATACATCTTCATGGTGGAGGCCATGTCTATGATAAGTAATTTTGGCAATATTGGGGTTGAACTTTCGGCGGCCTCTGAGGGGGAATAGTGTAGGACTGTTCTGTACTGTCTCAATCCTTGTTGTAAACAGGGCAATCAGCTGGGGAGATTGAAACAGTTCAGGTACCACTATTAAGGGAGGAGTGAGGCTTGGGAGGAATAGATTTGCCAGTGAGGTCAACCAGGATAGAAAGCGCACGACCTCGGAACTCTGATGTATCTGTGACAAGCCGTGATCGAACGGAACGGCAGTGGTATTGTTGAAGTAAGAGGGCATTGTCACAGTAAGAGGCTGTAGAAGGAGTCCCAAAAATTCTATCCCACTTAGCTGGGCAAAAATTGAGCAGCTACTCAAGATTTGTAGAGATGAAAGTAGTTGAAGGGTGAGAATGGAAGGAAGAGGGAGTGGGGTAGAATGGTGGAGTGAGGTAGAATTACAGGGAGGTGGACAAAAGGATGCATAGTAATAAGGGAGGAGGGGGTTGAAAATGAAGTAGACTATGGGGGGAACGAGATGGAGTGGAGGAAGGAATGTTTTCTAAAGGTTGGGTAATGACCAAGGTAGGTGCTTCGGAATGGATTGAGCTGGCAGTACGCATGCAGGAGGGGCAAGTGGTTGTGATCAAAGGAATGCCAAGGGTCGGGGAACCAGAAAAATAATGTTATTGGGGCTAACTGATAAAGGGTCACCCCTCAATGTACAATAAAATCATTACTGGCTATGCTAACACTGGAGTATGTGGAGAAGAGACATGGTTCACCCCTAAGGCCTCTATGAGGGGTAAAGATTTGATAACTTAACAGGAGGGGAATACCATGCCCCTGAAGCCGTTCAGGACTGACCCATAGCCAGCCTTTTATCTTTTCAACATGGGTATCACATCTTAGGAAGTGGACAGGAGGAGGGGATTGAAGAGAAAGAAAAGGAAAGGAGGATGAGTTGAGGCTTCAGGTATGGAAGGTCTCTGTTGCTTGAGCCACCCACGTCAGCAAAGGGCATGGGATTGGGGGGGAGGGGGCTATTTTTACGTATTATCTGAATTACAACACCTAACACACCACGATTAATTATTTTAAATGTAATAACAAACTAACACGAACTTCACCTAATTTTACAGGTTACTACTTTCAACAAAGTAAGACATTCCACATTTGTTATGCAAGGATTACAGTTGGCTAAACATGTTCATTAACAGGATACACAACACATTCTAAAATATAAATTGATATTGCAGAAATATAACTTCTGTACTCAATGACCATTTTCATAAAAATACCAAGCTTATTCTGATTTTTCATGGTCAAGCAGATCCGAGTTCTTATAAACTTTGTTGCCTTTCTTGATAACTGTACTTCAAGCAAATATTGTTTCTAAAATATTTCCTCCTTTTACTTTTTAAACTTCAGAATATGTGTAGGATTCCTCTCTACATCATATTCAAAATACTTAAAAACACTTCATATTTCACATTTCCTACACAGAGAGGTTTCCCTTTTTACTGATATTGCTGCAAAAAACATATCCATATTTCAAATTTGTTACACTTTGTTATCTTCAGATTGAAAAAGTTGCTGCTAAAAAGTATCCCTTTTCTTTAAAAAACAAACATTTAAATTAGTAATGGCAAGTTTTTTTATATATATATCTTACTAATGGACTATTACTTTAATGATATAACACAATAGGAGTCTTAAAAGGCATGTCCAACTTTTTACTCTATTTTCATTTAGAGGGTTAAGAAAAAACTTTTTGAGCATATAAATTTCTTTCTCTATAGTATCAAGCTTCAAATTAACATCTAGACTTGACATACAAAGATAATCGACTTGACATTCATACAAAACATTCCATTCCATTGTACAGCATTCAGAATACAGTAGTATATTTCCTATAAAAATTGAGTGGAATGGTATTCCTGTAATAGTAACTGATAACCAATAGTTGTCAATTACAAAATGTTTCCAGGTACAAGACCGACTTGGGCAGAGAAAATTTAAATGAGATGATATCAACACAAAAAGACCATTATAAATCAACTCAAAGCAAAAGAAATCCATTGATAAAATATAAACACAAATATCACAACAACAGTATAAACTAAATTATCTTGCTTTTCTCTCAGTTCAGTCCAACACATCTCACACTAAAAAAAATTAGAATCTTCTCTGCACTAAAGTTTCAGAATCTAAAGAAAATGTCAGCTTTCGATGATCAACATTCACCATTTCACCAAGAGTTCAAACAAAGAAAAATAAATAACTAAACCTGAAATTTGTAAAAAAAAATCTCACTGAATAAATCTTCCATTCCAACATTTCTGTACCCATGGATTGGGGAGCTTCTTTAATCAAACCTAAACTAACGCAAATTGGTGAAGAAATGGAGTGGGCCCTCTCATCATGGGGATGGTTTACCTCCTCATCGCACCCCCTGGGCCCCAACCCCTTCCTCCCCGTCCACCTCTGCCTCGACCTCGAGCGGCTGAAATGGAGAATCAAATTATCTATAAACAGCTCTACGGCAATAATGAGCATCATACTACAATGGGTACAACAAAGCATAATTTCATTTTCCCATATATGTTAGTGCTTTCTGACAAAAAAATCTTACCTTGTGCTCTTAAAATGGCGGATTTACCACTGCCTGCTGCTCCACCTTTCCTGCCTGTCATATTTTTGAACATTGGAGCATTCTGTTGATAGATGGAAATTCTCATGAATAGGCATATTAAGTTTATAACAAATAATAAAAATTCTCTAACCCCTTGCATTTACATAACACAAACTTTTATTGTTTAAGAAACAGTTCATAATAGTATCACTACACCCTAAAATAGTTTGCATAAAGCAGTAAGGTTTGATTTTCTAAACCAGACATTTGTCATTTCTTCAATCTACTGAGCTGAAGTTTGAGATTATCCTCAATAATTTTAAAAGCTATGATCATCAAATTTCCAGTTAAAAATGATGAAGTTACAAGAAACAATATGAAAACAAGCCAAATAACAAATTTAATGGAAAACAATAATACTTTTCATGAGTAATGTCTATTCTGAATCTAACTGTAATGCCAAGTAGCACTTCACATGCAGACTTAACATGCTAATATTGGGATATGATTAACCCCTTGGATCCAGGTAAATATCCATCAAGTCATGATGGGAACATGCCCCCATTAAAATTTCAGCTGAAAGCCAGGTTGACTCACTATGAATGTGTAAAGCTCTTGGAGGGCAATTGCAAACAGTGGGCATTTAGGAAGGGGCTCTTGCATTATCTTTATTGGTAACCAAGTGTGGAAAATACCATCTGTGAGCCATTACTTCAAGAGCGCAAGCTCCAAGATCACTATTTCCATAGAATATTCCTGGCGTGCAAGACCAGGATGTTCTTACAGAAAATTGAGTATTGCCATGTAGTAGTACAAGACGACATGGCAAATAACAAATTTACTTTTCATTGTTATAGCAGTTAAGGAACAAATATAATTTAGAGTGTGCAATGAAAAAAGTCCAATACCACCTTGATACAGCATATCAAATGACATGAGCTATGTGTGGATAAGCAAGGTACCTGAATCCAATGGAATAAATGAGACTCATTCCATTACCTCAATGTTCTAACAGATATTTGGCCCTCAGAAAGTGAGAACTTTTTTTCAAAAGTAACCAGAAAACTACATTTTTGTGTGATCTATTTCCTTCCTGCAGAAATCTGTCATTAACAGAATACATAAAAATTCCAAAAACTTATTCTTGTGTATTCCTAAAATAAAACAGAAAGGACCTGATTGTCCTAAGGTTTACCACAGATGGTTAATGGTTATAAAAACAATTAACAAAGGTCATATAGCACTATGGTAAAGTACTATGGTGAAAAGGGTAAAAATGAGTCAGTGATTTGGATAAAACGTGTTACAGGATAGTATGGTAGGGAAAAGAGTGAAGGGGAAGAGCAAATGAAGTAAAATGGAGATTAGTGAAAGAGGCAAGAGTTAAGGGTGTAGGGTGACTGGATGAAATGGAGTATCTGTGGCTCAGGAAGGAAAAGGAACACTGTTTAAGGAAAATTGTCCAAAGAGCTATTATGAAACAGTCCAAGGGTAATATGGGTAGAGATGGCTATTGGAGACGTAGAAGAATCCAGGCAATGAGATAAGGGGACTGGTAAAGATTGTGAAGTATCAGGAAGAATGTCAGGAGGAGAGGGATCCGGGGGACACTGTTGTGACAGAAGGGATTCATGTGAACATCCAGGTGGGAGTGATACAGATAATGGGAAATAAAGAGGGAATGAGGAGAAGGAGAGCACGGAGTGTGTTGGAAGAGAGTGGAAGGAAGACAGATAGGGGGAACTTGAGGAGGAGGATGGATACTGGCAAATACTTTGAATATAGTGGGAATAGGAATAGAGGGATTGGATGGGGGATGAGGGAGCAGAGCATTCTCTTGGGTCATGGTTAGGAAGTTTTTGGTGTCTTCCTTCAAGGGTACCTTGAGAGGAGTTGAGAGGGGCTAGAAATTGGGTTTAGACTGGAAAAGGAATTTAACTTGGAGAGAAGGGAATAGAGGTAGGATTGTTCAGGGTAGAGGGAAGATTTTCTGGGGGAGATGCTGAGGCATCTTGAGAAGATGGGAGGGAAGCAGAGTGAAGGACACTTTTGGAATAGGTAGGGAAAAAAAAAAACATGCTTCCTTTGAGTGAGGCCTCGTTTAAATTTGAGAAATGCTACTTCATCAGATTCAAACTTGTAGGCTGGGCAGCTCCTATAAAATACATTGTAGGAGCCACTAGAATTGGCACACGTACGTGTCCTGGTACAAGTATTATAAGAGGAATGAGGTTTGGCAGGAATAGGTTTGCCATGGTATATAGTGCACAAGCTTGGGACCCAGATGTAAGTGTGACAAGGTGTGAACGATTGGCATAGCTGCAAAAGGAAACTTTGCCTCCTTGTTTTTGAAGACATTGTTGGAAGAGAAGGGTATTTGACTAGCCCAACAAAGTAGTCAAAAGGTATGTAGAGGCAGAAGCAGTAGAAGGACAAGGGCAGGAGGAATTTAGGGTACTGTGAAGAGAGGTCGTACTGTGGGAAGGACAATAAGGATGACGTTACAGGCCCATCATGGAAAAATCTGGGTCAAGGGCTGGGTGATGTGTAAATGCTGTCATGGGGTAAAATAGCCATCATGAGCGATTGCCAGGGTGATGGAAAGACTCGCCATGAATGCACAAACATCTTGGAGTGTGATTTGACTCATTTGGCGCTTAGAAGGGTTTCTTTAGCATTATTCCCATCGATAAACGAATGTGGGATGTAACGTGCATAAGCCACAACTGGAAAAACGCCATTTCCATGGTGCACACTGTATTCCTCGCCACTGTGACTGGCGGCACAGGTTGTATTAAGGAAAAATGAAAATTTAGTGTGCAAGGAAAATAAGCTATTTCCATCAGGATAAAGCAAATCAAAAGACAAATATGGACATTGAGAAATGCCAAAAAAGCTAAAATTTTACACAAAATAACTTGGAAAGGGGAGGAAGAGAGTCTTGTCGTCACTCATGGGTGTTTGATGTTGTAGTATTATATTACATTATAATTATATGTTGAAGTATTATATTATAATATTATTATATGTTGTAGTATACATATTATACTGTAGCCTATGTAGCCTGGGATGTTAGCGACTTATGTAACCCAATGCCCGCATTTCTGGCACCATGATTTCCATGACGCAACCAGATCCAACGGGTTATTGTCACTAATAAGGGTACAAAAATGTTTATTATTGGCCATGGGGAGCCTGAAATTAGTGGGGAAAGAAAATGGTCCATCCCTCAGTGTCCCTATAAGGGGTAAGGGATAGGTTATTAACCAAGGGAATACCATACTCATGGCTCCCAGTTACCGTTCATGACTGACATGAAGCCAGCCTTTAATCTTTTCAGCATGTCTCTTACACCTTAGGATGTGGACAGAAGAAGGGGATGAAGAAGAGAAGGAAAAGGAGAGGGGTTGAAGAAAAGACCATGCATAATTAGTTGAGATGAGGGCTGAGGCCCAAGGTAGGTGTGAACCACTACAGTGGGCTTCAGTCATGGTCTCCCAAGCCTCCTAGACAACAACGAACAATGGATTGGGAGATTACTGCCAATGAAATAGGTAAAATCTCACACAAGCAGAAATTAAGTTTGAATAAACCAATACCAATTTTTTTTATTCATAGAAGAATAAAGTTAATAGTTTGGTTTAGAAGACAAATCAATTCACATTGCATACTGAAAAACCCTCGATAATATTTTTTGTCAAAATGATCTTGAATATCAATTTCCTCAAAAGTCTACCTATCTATTATCTGTATTTCTGCTTTAGATCTCTACCTCTATGTTGTTGTTGCAGTTGATGTATATAAGTAATTTTAACACACGGGTAAATGCAGTCGGCATATCTCCATTTCCAAAAAACGTTTTCTTGATGCTGTTCAATATTACTTTTTACTAATCTTATCATCACTTTTATTGACATTAGGATTATCATAATGCGATCATTAATTCTAATATCAAGTAAAAAAATAAAAATTTGAAAAAGATGATCAACTTTTGTGCATGCCATTCCAACTTCAATGGCTTACTTACTAATGTAATTTATTCCACTTAAAAAGAGAAAATCAGATACAAATTGATCTGCAAACAACTAAAAAACCTAAACATGTTTGCTTACCTTCAACATGTCTGGTAATATTAAGAAGCGGATCTTGGAGCCACGAATAAACACATTTTCCAGGCGAGCTGTCTGTCCATTCCTATAGGTCACTGTACATGATTCCATCTGGAATACCAGTTAAAAAGGTTACTGTGGCCAAGAAAGCACATTGAGAGATGAAGTATGGAAGAAAATTTAAGGAAAAATGTATTTCAGATGATGAAAAAAGAGAGAAAACAGTGACAAGACATGCAGCAAACAAGATTCCCAGCCCAACCTGTACATTCATGTTGTCTTCAGCCTCAAGCAGTTTGCCCCGATACACCTCGCCAAGCATGGTCTCCACAGTAACTGTGTGGCCCTCGGCTTCATGTAGAACTTTAATGGGGACACCGATTGACATTTTTGCACCTGAGAGAGAGTGAGAGAGTGAGAGAGAGAAAAGAAGCTATGTATATTATTCATCATTATTTTATTATAACATCAAACTTTGATTAATAATTTGTACTGCAAAGTGGCTAAATAAAATCATCAATCCAATAGAACTCAACCAGTTGCTTAAAAAATTAGCTAGAGGAATGAACAAGGATAATCAATTTCTACTTTACCTTTTCTCTATACACACTATTCACACAACTTACAACCATTACAGACATTCTATGCTAAGTAGCCATTGTACATATCATATAATACTTCTAGAAATCTTGTCTCTCGACAAATATAACTATAAAAATGCTTTCTTAGATTTTCTATGTTATCAAACAATTAGCAATAAACAAAGACACTTAATGTATCAGCTCAATAGCACTAATAACAATGGTCTACATACAGAATAACTAGGGGACCCTACATCATATCACCTTTTACAATCAGGCTTTACTGAAAACTGTACAGATTCACAATTCTGGTTTAACAATTTAGTTGTTCACAATGCGTGTAAAAAAAAAACTTTCATTTCACAGGTGTTGTTTGACAGATTATTTAGATAAACATACTGCAGCATTCAAACAAACTAGAACACCTTGCTTTCCCCTTCAATTATTGAACTATAATTCTGAAAATTGTTTTTCAACCTCATATTGTATATACAGTTTTGTAATTTATGTACATATATATACCACCATTTATGAATTTCATGTATCTTGCTGCAATAAATTTTGAATCAAGTCTTGTACAGCCTGAGAAAAATTAATGTTGTCTGTCTCAGTATTCCAAAATAGATGGCCATCACAGAAGATCTATCCACTCCCACTCAGAGGAAAATATGTTAACTTCCATTTTAAGCAGTCATGACAAAACTTAACTGTAATAATAAGAAGGGATCTGCAAGTGTGTCAGGCATTGAAATTTGCATTAACTTGATCAAATGAGAATAAATATATGCATGAGTGGGAATGAAAAGAGGAGTGGGAGTTTTCACGGTAAAACTGGCTCTTATATTAAAGCACATGGCTCATGTAATTCATCTTTCCATTTCAATTTATCATTAACCTTTGATCAGGGTACAAACTTGAAGGTCAGGATGTTAAGTATGGAAAATAATACAATGTAAACCATTACCAAATCACTATTTATTCATAAAACATAATTTGTACCACTTACAATGCATGTTCATACAGCAAAGTAACCTTACTTTTTACTTTATCATCTTGAAAAAGGAAGAGAGAGAGAAAAAAAATATAAGACATTAACTCAATAATTGTATCACTTAAAAGCTATAAATATCCACTTCTGAGCCCGCATCCATGGGGGATAAAGGTACATGATATTGCAAATGAAAATTAATTCATATTCTTTGCGCAAACACCAAATATTGGTTGCATTTGGAAAAAAAATATCAGAACTGTTTAGAGGCAGTTATCAATGTTAAAAATTCATGAAACAAAGTACTATGCCTACCTTTTTCACATCAGTATCACATGAATAAATAAGACCCATGACTATACATCAGTGCCTCTATGCAGGAAATATTGTCAGTAAAACCAAAGGTTTTCAAGACAATTCCAATTTCCATTTTATTTTCTCTTGTCCTCAACCCTCAGCAAAAAGTTAATGCACGAGCACCAAGCTGAACCTATCTGACCCTCTGCCCTGAGCCACAGGCGAAACTCCTTCATCGATGCCTGTTTTTCTTGCTGCTTTTCTTAATCTTGTGAGAACTTTTTGCAACTTTGTGCAACACTGAACTGTCACGGGATGAGTCTCCATTAACTCCTGGGTTGACAGAGTCTTTGGAATTGTCTTCACTCCCAGAATTAATGTCATTGGTGTCTGTGTTGTCCCCTACTCGATCACCTAAGGGTTCCACAATGCCACTGACTGCTGCCATGGACGTAATTGATGATTTGCTAAAGAGTCTCTCAGCTTCTTTGAACTTTCTGTTGCGTTTATCATTCTTTGCATTTGTGTTTTTATTTGTAACAAGGTACCTATCCCAGCCTCTAATAATATTACCATACAACTGAGTGTCTTCTAGATAGGAGCCCTCAAAGGCATAGATCTGTCTTTCAAGGGAAGCCAAGTTGTCTGCAATTTCTGCTCTTCTCTTAACCAGCTCTGCTAGCTCTGTTCTGGTATCACTGATGGTACCAGACCCCGAACCACTCTTTGACATCTTCATGATGATGATTTATTCCTGTACAGTTTCTAGATTATCTGGATTCTTTCTCAGACGACTTCCAGTTCAAGTGCACACTGTACAACCGGTGAAAGCGTCTTGAAAAGGGCATAATCAACCCAGATGCTCAGATGACTGCTGGAGACCTCCAACCATGCCAATCCTAGAAAAGAAGAAACACATAAATATGTATAGGTTTTAAAGAGCTGCTCATTCAAGAATAAATACCCAATAAACTAAGCAGCTCATTGTGCTATGCCTAACTTGACAAGATGAGCTGTTCAAACATGCAAATGAGCTTCTTTAAAACTTATACACATAAATGTTATTCTTCTCAAGGATGTGGCAATGCTTGGGTAAGAGAGTATATAGCAACTAAAGACATACTCCCATTTCATATCTTCCATGCTTTACAGTTTTAAAGTTTTGCAACCTATTACTTAATCATTTCTTGTTACAAGTCACATCTATAATGTTTCTGGATCTAATTAATGGCCAATGATAAAGACGTAACTTCATATTTTTCAGAGGTTGATTTACAAGCATTTGCCTTAGTCACCCTAACAATTCTTCTGTGCAAATTGTCACAAAGCATGCTGCCTGTTCAGATCTACTAAAAACAATTTTATAAAGCCGGTGCAAATGATAAACTCACACAAAGACAATAAACAATTCATTAAAGATTCATAGTTTTGTGTTTGTATCTGCTATTTACCTGATAAAAAATTCACTTTTACAGCTCATTTAACCATTTGCTAAATGCCTTAATCACAACAGATCTGGATATGGTTTTATGATAGTGCTTTTGAAAAAAACAAAAACCTCAAAATAATTCATATTTTCTATGAGGAAGGCTCTGCATCAACCAGTGGAGTTTTAACCAAGAACACAAGCATTTCAGTCCTGGATAAGAAGGAGACTAATCAAAATAATGTATAAAGCAATCTCTAGTTTGAATCAATGGTAATGACATACTACAGAATAGTGTAATTAAATTCAAATAAACTTGATGCAGACATGCTCTATAACATCATGGTTTGCAAATTCATATGCAGATACACAGGCATTTCAGTATTACGGTGCAGATACAATAATCACAACCAACCCCTCCCTTACAATGTGGGTCAGCAGAAAATGAGATGCTTGACCTAGACTGATAGTAATGAGGTGTGAAATATAATGGGACCCTCCCCATACATATACATGCATCTATATTTACATTGGCCACTGAAACACTGGCCTCTACATTTGTTCTGCCCAGACTGAGCTTACTGACCTTCCTAGTAATCTATTGTCATTATTTGACTAGGTCAGGACAATGTGAAAAACAATCACACTTTCATAAACAAAGATGCACATATGAAAGTATAACTGAACAAATTATGAAGGGTTACCTAATGTTTGCAATGACTGTAATGTCACCTTATGTAACTGCCAAACTACTATTGTACCTCATCATCAAAAAAACTATACGGTATCAAGTGATATTATTTTTATTCATTTTCTAGATGAAGTAGATTTTGCCAATGAAACCCAAATATGATGATAATCAAGCAACAACAAATTCCTCTAATCCTGTTGGTACTCAGGCAAAAGCAAGCAAACCCCCACTGAATATATTTTATCAGGAAAGCCTCCCAGCTGGGTTTTATCAGAGAATATATAGTGAAGGGTTGTTGTCTTTTACTACACCACTTGAGACACAAATGCCCATTGCTTGACATTATGCCACTTAAATAATCAATAAACATCAACAGTTCTAGTTTCGAACAACTACCCTAGGTGTACACTATACACAAAATGCAATCCCTCTATACTCAATTCATAACTGCTGGTTTCATATAGAATACGCAAGGCAGACAAGATTGTCAATATCTAACCTATCTCCTCAGAAAATTGCACTCCTTTAATGGCATGCCATATTGGCAAGTTGTTTTTCATGGAAAAACTATAGAATCTAGATAGAAGAGATCATAAGAAGTAAAACAATATCAAATTTGTTAGTATCAGTAATGTGAAACTATAGTGTAAAATGAGACCTTTTTAAAGTATTTTTCTTTAAAAAATAAAATAGAACAAATAAATAGATAAACAAAAAAAGTTCAAATCTCAAAGCAGACTGGCTTTGGCATTAAACCATTGGAGTCAGATACATGTAATATCCAGTTTCATTTCTATCAATTCTGTTTACACATAAATGGTTTTACATGTCACCAAGTCAATTTCAAGTCATTTCTGACCTCCATGAACTGGAAGAGCAATGGAAGAGCACCATTTCCATACTCAGCATCCCATTCCTGACAGCGCACGTTGAATATCAATATTTCTAAATTTGCCATGTGCTATCTTATGAAATGTGAACATATCAGTGAGCAAAGCAATATGCATTTCACAAACAATGGCCAGCAGAGGGCATAATTATCCCACAGGAATATTAGAACATTATATAGCAATGCACATATGCAGAATGCTATAAAACACAATTGCTGATGACAATACAGCCACATTTGTAAAATGCAGTTTTCCCAATCATTGTTAAACTTAACCCACAAACTCCAGGTAAAAAATTTGGTAAGCTGACATGGTCGCAAGTTTATTGGTGCACATTGACAGTTCCTGTTTGCGCTCAACTCATTCAGTAGTTTGTGAGCAACATTAAGAACCTAAATTCTTGTATTTTGATACAGTTTAAAAATATGTCAAATTTCTGAAGGATTACCTTCACTTTAGGTGCTATTGCCAAAAAGTTTTACCAAAGAAATGATGCCGCTATTATCGATGAGCCGATGGAGCGGGAAGGGTCGTATTTTATGCCACATGCTACATTGTCCACAAAAGCCATGGCATGTACATACATACCACCCAAGCGAGGAGTGGTTAATATATGGTTAAGTTGATATTAGTAAGCTCTCGCCACTTGTTATCACAACTCCTCCAGTTTGGTGTGGCACAATTTGGTTATATTCAATGCATCTTGGCAGATAGAAGAGCTTACATATATAGTGTGGCAACCCTACTGTTAACATTTACCAATGCAATATACCTATAATTAACCTTAGTAGAAAAATACTGGTACAGCCTATAAAGTAATTTCATAATTTACTGCAATTAACATTATATGCATATAACAATGAACATAGACACAAAAGGACATTATATACGTTTTATAAAAGTTAATAAAAATAAGCCTTCTTTTTGTTCCAAATGAAATGCCAACAAATGGTAAGTCTTATCAAAGTCCTTTAACCCACCCGCGCCGGGGTACATTTTGTAGCCAAAATTAAAAAAATCCGGGAAGCTACAAAATTGGCGGGCGGAGCTTCCCCGGAGTCTGTCCGCCCGCCCGGCCGCCCGCTGCTTTTGCCGCGGAGTACGGCTCCGAGACAGCATCGCACTGGCGGGCAGCCCGAAACTGTTTATTTTTTCCCTGTGTCTCATATATGTGACACCCGGGACGAATGGGTTAATACCAAATTACTGTATCAGTAATATCAAGAAAAATTAGCTGACATATCCATAGCCAACCATACTTTCAGCAAATGAGGTCATTTCTTTGACCAATCATAATCCACATAGTACTGGAAGCTATGGTCATAAAAGCCCTTCAGTCTGTACCTTGCTGGTATTCAATGCAGTATAGGCCTTGAAATATTCACAGTGACGAGTCAACTGGTCTGGCCCAAGCTGAAGGGTTTCTTCAAAACCTAGTATATTTGGTGAAATACACTGGCAAGATATTTTCATTATTTTTATAACCCTTTATCACAAACTGGCATAACGAAGATTTAGTGAACAAAAGTTACACAAGTTACAGAATGAATGTTAGATGCAAACAAAAAGTATTGAGTTTAGCTAGCTATAAAGAGCTAATAATATCCTTGTGCTTCAAAATATAATCCATATATAGGTGATGCTACAATCTTTCAAGTCTACTTTCAGATAATTTTTGAACCAAGTCCATAGTGGACAGCAATATATGCAAAAGAAACAGGCTGAACTTACAAAGCCGCTAATGACCATATGATATTTCCCTATATTATTTTTCATGTGGAAAGCTAATGGCACATTTTAACCCCTTGGATCCGGGTGCATGACGGAAATCACAGAGCTGAAAACCCCTGGGCAATGGGTTATGTAAGTGGCCAACTCAGAAAGAGTGGAGGGCCTGGTTTTAGCACGCCCTGAAGGCGTTCTACTCCTTTGGTGGGAAACACCTCATCGCCCGTACAGACCCGGGGCGGCTGGTGCTAGGGGATATCCTGCCGGCTTGGTGGCTGATATCCCCTGGCCCACTTAGCTCCCAGGCCGCGCGGCCACCCGTTGCTCCGAGGGATCGGGTGTCAATTGCACTGTACATCATATGATGCCATCAACGTACAATGGGTTACAAGCAAAAATGTGTAATAGCAGACAATGATAATTAGCTACATATCGTTTTGACAAGTGCGTGGTAACACATGAAATACTTCGGACATCACAGTAATGAATTAAGCTGTCAGTGTTGTGTTTTTCAGGGCAAGGTAAACAAGATGCAGGACTTAAAATCTGAGTGGTGGCTGCGCATTATATTTTCATCATTTAGCGGTGACTATGAGGCCGCTGCAGCTTACACTATGTTGCATCTCACTGTATTTCTTCTGCTCTATAAGATGGCAATGTCCATTTCCCTGTATCTATGTGTTGGTCTCTTTAAATTATACCGTACATTCTATCCCGCCATCATACATGGAAGATTCTTTGTCTCTCAGGGTGAGGGTTTGCAGGGGTCAGAGCCCCTATATAAAACAATATAGCAACTTATTCTGTATATATTATAATAGTCACATACTTTGTGTGGGGTACCTCACCTTTACTACTTCCCTGGTACCTTTCATGCCCTTCCCTACTACAATGACTTAGGGTGCAGGGGTTTGTGGAGGTTTCACTGCTTAATTCCGGGTTAGTCTTAATGGTATGGATGAACTAAGGTAGGGCCAATTGAAGACGATATTCTTGTTGAGGACTAAAAGTTGTTGCCATCATTACAAGAAATCTGTAGCTATAAACAGTAACCACACAAATAAAGGAAAAATGTTTAAGTCCACTCGGTAATGTTCATACTTATTGCTCATAAATAACATTTTCATGTGCATATGCATAACTATACCAGACTGTACAGTATTTGCACCGGGGATATTACATCTTTACATGCATGGAAAACATAATTTTGTCTACATTTGCACAGACGGATCTGCGGACAGATGATGAAACAAGTGCGCGGAAAGGTCAAAAGAATTTTTTACGCTGACAGAATTTGACCAACCTCTACAGTCTGGTGTATATATATATACATATATATACACATTACAAGAAATCTGATATGGCTGCTGGACGTGTAACAATAGCCATTCTACATATTTACCTACATAGCAATTGAATACCAACCTCATCTCCACTCCATCTGTTATGATTGCTATAATCATCTTACATCAACTAAAACCACAACTAAACACAAACACAGATCCTGTGGCCTCCACCAACTCCAAATTACAAAGATTTAAAATTGTAAACCATTTCAGGAATTTTGAACAGAGTAATCATGGCAAAATAACTTTGTTTATAGAAATATAAGACACAATATGCATACTACTTAGCGTAAAACTAAATTACTGCACAATATTTTCACGAAATGCATCAACGACTCACCAATTTCAATCAGAACTTTTGGAAAATGTTCGCTACCTCAGGATATCTCAAATTTCCATTCAATGTCCAAGCAACCTACATCTCCATTAAACACCAGAGACACTCTTGAGTCCCTATACACCAGACTGTAAAATCAGAGACAAACTTAAAAAGGAATTAACTAGAAAATACCGGCAGCGTCTCTTGGGTTCTGGCGGGACTTTGGATAAGCATCACTATTCTTCAGTTTTTTAGGCCTAAACTACTTCAAATCCTACTGACTATCGGTTCTATAATAACTTAGATTAGCATGCAATTACTGGAAGGTCATACATATTGCAATACCTACTAGATAATTCAGATGATTGAAGATAAAATTCAAAAGGAGAACAATAATTGTACAGATTCGTTTGATGTTTACTCTCTCGAACGTTTGTCAACGTCTAGAAGCAGTTTGGTAAAGATCCACAAAAACAGAATTGATACAATACTGATAAAGATAGTGATAAAAAACAAATATAAAACAATATTAAATAGTTATATTTCTAAAATTTAATACTATGGTTATATAGAACATCTTAAGTACTCATCAATAAAAGTATTCTATTTTTTTCTCTAGTATTTGCATTTCACAAAAGCGAAAACCTATTACAAAATCGGACGTCAATTCTTGGTCATTCTTTCGTCATAGAAATTAAACATGAAAAAATAATAACACTAACGCTAAATGAATAATATAAACCGAAATATTAACGATAATAACAAACAATCGCATTTATAACTGACAATAACAATGATAGACACCGTGATATATCATTATCATTTGGTACTGTTATTCATTGTACATGGTTTTCTCTTTATTTTCTTTATACTGTTATATCAACGACAACGATTGATATCATCATTATCATTATTACCATTACCATTGTTATTATCAATGTTATTATCATGATAATCAGCGTTATTCTTTTAAAAATGACATTGTTATTATTGTTATTGCCTCTATTATTATTATTATTATTATTATTATTATTATTATTATTATTATTATTATTATTATTATCATTATTATTATTATTATTATTATTATTATTATTATTATTATTATTATTATTATTATTATTATTATTATTATTATTATTATTATTATTATCATCATCATTACTATTACTATTATTATTAATATCATTATCATCATTATTATCTTTATCATTTTGTTATTATTATTATCATAATTATTGGTATTATTACTATTATTATTATCTTTATTATCATCATCATCATCGTCATCATCATCCTCACCATTTATTGTTGTTGTTATTATTATCATTATTATTATTATATCATGGCCCATTCTATCACCATCATTGTTAGTAGCATTATCATCATCATTATAATTGCCATTCCTGTTATCATTGTCATTATCGTTATT